GTGAGCACACGCACCCTATGGCAAAAAACTCAAAAAAAACAAACCAAAAAAGAACAAAAACAAAACTATGTTATCTTGAGGAGTAGTGTATCAGAAGGGATGATGATCCAAAAGGTTTCAGTGCTCAAGTAGGAAATAAAGTGGTTTGTGACTTTTTCTTCCCTGCTTTTAAACATTTCTTTGTAGGGGGCCAGCAGTTAGTGTAATGGCTATGTCACTGGACTCCCATGTAGTCGACCATGGTTCAAGTCCCGGACCCGGTGGCTTAAAACTCACGCCAGGTGCGTGTGCGTGCATCCCCAAGATCCCAAGAGGAGAATGGAGGAGAAGGGATTGCGGTGTGGCCATCCCCCCCGGGGGGTGATTTCTCTCTTTCTATCTCTCTGTCTCTCTCTGTCTTTCTGGCAAGTGCACATGCCCTAAAGCAAAAACCTCTCAAAAAAAAAATTCTTTGTACGGACCTGCAGATTGTGTAGTGGTCGTGTCTCTGGACTCCTATGTGGCCAACTCCAGTTTGAGTACTGGACGTGGTGGCTTAAAACTCATGCCGGGTTCGTGTGCACCCAGAAGCCTGAGCGGCGAGTGGAGGAGAAGGGATTGTGGCATGGCCATCCCCAGGGGGGATGAGTTCTTTCTTTCTCTCTCTCTGTCGCTCTAGTGGGCACACACACGTCTATAGCAAAAAGCTCTCTTTAAAAAAATGTCTTTTTGAGTTAAGAGAAAAGTGAAAACAAAAGGACCCAAGTTTGGTAATAAAGTGTTGAGAAAGAAGTTTAAGAACTTGGCCGGTTTCTTTGAAAGTTAGTAGCAGATCTGAGAATAAAAGCACACTCCTGAATATCAAGACCACTATTATTGACATACTGTCAGTCACGGTAGCACCTGTTTAGCCTGCTGAGCCATGCTGCCCTTGTAATGGCCCTGTGACAGAACTGGAGTGGAAGGGCTAGTGAGCCTGTAAGGGTGAATAAGTGAAATAACGAGAAAATGTCTGAGAGGGTCCCTGAGGGTAACAGCAAAGACAAATGTTATTATCTTAATTCTTCCAAACCCAAGCTGTTTGTCTTATGGTAGTAGAAGCATTCTACTAATGGAAATACCAGAGTGGGTAAAAATTTCAAAAATGATAAAGCTGTCCTTTAGGATTCAGGCTTGCAAAGGAGCTAAAACCTGACTGCTTTTTAGGCAGTACAAAGCTGAACTCTTTACACGTGCCTCAAGACAATGGAAACAGAAGCATTCAAAGTACTTTTAGCCTCACTGGTAAATATTAATGGCAGGCTAAGAGTAACCAATAATGGTAGAGAAATCTAAGAATTTTATGTAAAAGATTAATGTACTTTGACTTTTTCATTAAACAGGCTGGAAACCTGTGACCTAGAACCTTATAGACAAAATAATAATACAGGGGTACTTCAAAAAATTTATGGGAAAATGGAATTAAAATATGAGTTTATTTTGTTAAATAAAAAACCTTGGGAAATTAATGCATTGCTTTTTCATAACTATATATGCAACATTTTAGGGAAAACAATAAATGAAATCCAGCAATTTTAATCAAAACCACACGGCATGCCGGATTTTCATTGCATTTAAATAAAATATTTCTCTTTTATGAGATTTTTTTTTTTTTTTTTTTACTATAGGGTTCCTGCTCTTGCTGGAGAGACAGAGACATAAAGTGAGAAATCATCCCCCGAGGGGGGTGGCCATACCACAGTCCCATATACATTCTCCTCTTGGCATTTTAGGCATGCACGCGCACACACACACAGCATGAGTTTCAAGTCTCTGGGTCCAGGACTCAAACTGCGATCAACTATGTCGAGTTCAGTGATGTAACCATTACACTGTCTGCTGGTCCCTAAATGTTTCTAAAATAATCCATTAGTTGACAAGTCTCTTAGAAATCTTTACATTCTAAGTGTTTTGCACAGTGACTACTTGGCACACAAAGTAAGAACTTTTTTTTAAGTAAACAAGTATAGTCATTACAGTGTTAGGACTGAAAACATGTATAACTTGTTACATGATAGTTTTTACATTTCTGAAGAGTCCTCTGTTGGGAATATACGTTATATTCTTCAGCAATAATATTAGGGTTTGATTCCCAAGTGGCTTTTGAATATTGTTGTTTCTCATCGTTTCAGCTTTGGAAAGCTAGAGAAAACGTCTAGTGAAAACCTAGTATTTCATAAGAAGCAGAATACCCAGAACATTAAGTATACACTGAAAAATCATTTACCAAAGACTGAGTGAAATAAATGGAGGACATTCCCTTATTTGAAAAATGTCTCTTAGTAGAATCCTTATGATTCACTTAAAATGCACAGAAGATAAATTATTGCAAGAGTTTATGGAATACTACTTGAAAAGTTCTTGTTTGAGAATTCAATCTTGTTTTCTACGAAGTAAACTTTAGTTATACCTGTTTTATGTTTTATTTTGTAAATTATTCTTATGCTTGGCGACCTGATATAATCTCTTTTCTTTCATAATATTATTGCTGACTCCTTTAAAATATTGGTTATGGCAAAGGGGAATGATAAAGATGCAAAGCATTTATTCTTTAAATCCTGGCACCACTTTTAATTTATTATAAGCACATCTGTATTACATTACATGGGGAAAAGAATGCATGCGTTCTATAGTCTGTGGGCACCAGGCTGGCTGGTTTAGAAAAATGGAGTACTTCACATTTCAGTTTCTTTTCAATATAAAGAATATTCTGTGGGCTTTTTTGTTTATTTGTTTTGCTTTTTTGTTTGCTATAAGGGTGCATGCTCTCGCCATGGAGATGGAAAGTGAGAAATCATTCTCCTGGTGGGGAAGTGGTGGTGGTGGTTGAGGGGAAGATGGCCATCCCTTCTCCAGTCTACTTTTGAGATTTTGGGCATGCATGTTCACATGCCTGGTCTGATTTTTCAAGCCACCAGGTCTGAGACTTAAATGTAGCAGTCAACCTTGTAAGACCTAGCACTTTAACCACCATGCCACCTAGCTGGCCCTGGTTGCTATTTTTAAGGTTCAAAGTAAATACATTTGAAGAATTTGAATTTTTAGCAAATAATTCTTATATCCAAGAAAAATTCATGACACATTAAACATAGATATTACATCAAGTCTATTTCAGGGTTCCACAGTGGCATAGCAAGACTGATGGACGCACATGGGAGGGTTTCAGGTTTACATCTGAAGACCTTCCGAGTACACTATGCACACATGTGCCCATAATTAAGGGTTAGCTAAGTGAGGCTAAGTGAGTTGTGGTGCCAGGTCCTGGCTGGGGGTGCACATGTGTACATTTCATGTATCTTGATTATGGAAGAAATAAACTTATAAAAAGCTGTATTTCTTTATGAAAATTAGTGGCTTGTTCTAGAGCTTTCCTGATATCAAAATGCTGAATTGTTTTTCATTGATACATAATAATTGTACATACTTAAGGGGTACAGTGTGATGTTCCCATACATGTATACAATGTGTGATAATCAAATTAGGAGAGTTAGCATATCTGTTTCTTCAGATATGTCACTTTATTTCATTGTGGTGAAAACATTCAAAATCCTCTTCAAGCTGTTTAGGAATATACAGTAATTATTGTTGACTGTAGTCACCATACTGCAATGAAACATTAGAATTTATTCTCCTATCTAATTGTAACTTTTTACCTTTTAACTTCTCTTCAACACTCCTAATGCCCCTCCCTTCTCAGTCTCTGGTTACCACTATTTTACTCTCTACTTCTATGAGATTAAGCTTTTTTGGGCCTATGTATGAGTGGAATTATGATGTATTTTCTGTGCTTGGCTTATTTCATTTAGTATATGTCCTCTAGGCTCATTCACATTGGCACAAATGACAGGATTTCATTGCTTTTATGACCGAATAATATTCCATTGTGTAAATATATCATGTTTTTTCTTATCTATTCATTTGCTGATGGACATTGAGGATTATTTCATATCTTGGCTATTGTGAAGAGTGCTGCAGTAAACAGAAGTTTGCAGATACCTCTTTGACATATTGATTTCTTTTGACTATGTACCCACTTGTGGGATTGCCGGATCATATGGTAGTCCTATTTATTTTTTATTAATATTTTACCTTTGGGAAACACCATATTGTTGTCCATAGTGGCTGTGCTAAGTTACATTCCTGCCAATAGTGTAATAAGAGTTTCTCTTTCTCAACATTGTCACTAGTGTTTATTTTTTTCTTTTTGCTGGAGTGAAATGATTTTTCATTGTGGTTTTGATTTATATTTCCCTGATTATTAATAATGTTGAGCATATTTTCATATACCTATTGACCATCTGTATGTCTTTTGAAAAAAGTCTATTCAAATTGTTTCCCCATTTTTTGTAATGAGACTTTTTTCTATTTATGAATTCTGGATATATTGACAATTTTTCAGATGCATAGTTTGCAGATGGTTTCTACCATTGAGTCGATTGTCTCTTCACTCTTTTTATTGTTTCCTTTGCTGGGCAGAAACTTTTCAGTGTGATGTAATGCCACTTGACTATTTTTGTCTTTGTTTTTGAGGTGTTACCCAAAAGATCCTTGCCAAGGCCAATATCATGAAGTATTTTCTCTGTGTTTTCTTCAAGTAGTTTTCTTCTTTTAGGTTGTACATTTAAGTTTTTATACATTTTGAGTTAAGTGGTGAGAAATGAGGGCATACTTTCATTCTTCTGCATTTGGAGATCCAGTTTTCTCAGCACCATTATTGAAGGGACTGTCCTTTCCCCAGTGTATGTTCTTGACACCTTTTTTGAAGATGGACTTTGTACTTAGATTTTGAACTTCTATAACGATAACTCTTCTAGTTTTCTTAGGAAATATTAAACCTTTGTTAGAAGGAAATAGCTATCGAATTAATGTCATCACCTTTAAAAAATTAATGTAAGGGACTCTGATACATTTATTTTATTGATGAGTAATTTTGAATATTAAAGTTTTTTTGTTTGTGTTCATTTTGCCTTTCCATCAATAAGATATTATGAATTGGATCCTTATAAAAGTCTCCTAGACAATTTGCGGAACAAAGTGATCATTGAGTATCCAACATTACATGTGGTATTGAAAGGATTCAGTAGTGACATGAAAATTCTTCACCAAGGTAAGTATAAATTTATGTAATGCTTAGAATAACTCTAGAGAAACTGAAGCTGTTATGCCCACCTTTATTTTTTGATGTGTGTGTTTTTCCCCACTGTATTTACACACTTACAAAATTTACTCTAGCAACAATTAATGTAAAGAAACAGATGAATGAGCTACTGCTTCTATTTGAAAGCATGTAAGCGTATAATACCTTTTTTTTTTTGAGAGGTTTTTTTTACTGTAGGGCACATGCGCTCAACAGAGAGAGACAGAGAGACAGAAAGTGAGAATCACCCCCCCAAGGGGATGGCCATGCCACAATCCCTTCTCCTCCTTTTTCCTCTTGGGATCTTGGGCATGCATGCACACGCACCTGGCATGAGTTTAAGCTACCGGGTCCAGGACTCAAACCGTGGTCGGCTACATGGGAGTCAAGCGACATAGCCATTATGCTAACTGCTGGTCCCTATAATACCATTTTTAAATTAATGTATCAAATTGAATGGCTATAAATAACTTTTTTTACTTTATTGGAGTTTCCTGTATTTTTGTGTTTTTTTGTTTGTTTGTTTTTTTGGAGAGGTTTTTGCTATAGGGCGTGTGCGCTCAACAGACAGACGGAGAGGACAGAGAGTCAGAAAGTGAGAAATCACCCCCCAGGGGGCATGGCCACACCACAATCCCTTCTCCTCCATTCTCCTCTCGGGATCTTGGGCATGCACGCACACGCGACCGGTGTGAGTTTTAAGCCACCGGGTCTGGGACGCAAACCGTGGTCGACTACGTGGGAGTTCAGCGACATAGCCATTACGCTAACTGCTGGTCCCCCATATTTTTGTGTTTTTTAAAGGCAGTAGTCTTTAAGTAACAGACTTTGTCTATCATCAGATAAATTTACTCCCTAGTTAAAACTCTTTATTTAGAAATTCCTGAAATGAAGGATTGCAAAACATTTGAGCATTCTACCTTATATATAGGGAGATTGATGCCAGAAACATGTTTAAATTTAGACTTTATTTAGAATAGTTACCGCCATTGCCTGGATCCTTTATTTCCTTTTATAAAACCGCAGGTTTATTTTCTTTGATTTTGTTTCTTTAGGCTATACAGCAAAGTATTCACAATGGAAAAGATATATATATATATAAAGATTTGGTGTATAAAATCATCTATCTATTAAAAAGTACTCATTAAGCTAATTGTGTTTCTGAATACAAGGTCCTAGAGGATAAATAAAATTCAGTAATTAATTTTAAAAGGTACAGGAGGTTACACACTTTTAGATACACAGGCCACTTTTAGATACACAGGCCAAGTTTTATTGTAACAAACTCCACAGGAACAAGGGATCTTTTTCGTGGCTTGAATTTTTTTATTTTTTAATTTATTTTTATTTTTTTTTTTTTTTTTTTTTTTTTTTTTTTTTTTTTTTTTTTGCTATAGGGTCTATACACTTGCTGGAGACATCCCCAAGGTGGGGGTGACCAAACCACAATGCCTTCTCCTCCATGCTCTTCTTAGGGTTTTGGACGCACCTATGCATCTAGCATGTTTTTCACACCACTGGGTGAAAAAAACCACACAGTTGGCCATGTGTTATCCAGCCACCTGTCTGGCCCTGAGAGCTCTTTATTTTTTAGGTCATATTACTTGAATGTGTGGTTCAGATTTTATTTTATCAGTATCACAAGTTGTAGCAAGCAGTAACCTACAAGGTATCTTTTGTACATGTCTGTGGCTTTTAAAAACTGTATTAGAGAGATTGGACCAGCAGATGGTGTTGAGGTTATGTCCCTGGACTCCCATGTGGTCGACCATGGTTCAAGTCCCAAACCTGTGATACACTGGGTGCATGTATGTGTGTGCCCAAAATCAGAGTAGACTGGAGGAAAAGGGATTGCAGCATGGCCATTCCCCAATTGGGAGTGATTTTTCACTTTCTTTCTCTTGTCTCTCTCCCTGGTGAATGCACACACCCTATGACAAAAACCTCTTTAAAAAAATGTATTATATAGAGATTGATTTTTGACAGTGGAGGGTTTCACCACGTCACAATCCTGCTTTACCTTCCCAGTTCCCAGCTAACTTGTACTATAGATGTGCACCACTGTGCCTGGACTGTTTAGGTTGGGCTGGGAGCCAAACCCACAATTCCCATATTGCCTCAGCCTCCAAGTAGTGTTATCATAGCAGTGTGCCACCTTGGCTCAGCCATGCATAGCTTTTTTTGTTTCTTTTTTTTTTTTTTTGGCAGAAGTTAACAGGAGAGTTCTCTAAATGTGGCCAAAATTTTGTCAGTGCCACAACTCAAAACTAGATTTTAATTAACTGACATGAAGTTTCTAATAATAAATTATGGGCCTCTAATTATTAATGTTTATTTTGACTTTATATTTATCGTAATTTGAGATTATTTTATTCTCTCAAATTAAATCAGGATTTTTCATTTTTAAATGACCAGTTTCACTTTTTTACAGCTCCATAATACCTACTTTTTCTTAAATATAATTCACATAACACTCTCTCTAAATGTTGGTTTCAGGGAAAGTTGTTTAGTAATGCAGGTTACTAGCTAGAGCAAACATAGTCTGTGTAAATAAACACAGCACACACAGCTCCTCTTTCACCTTGTTTAGGAATGCACTTTCAAGTAAGGCTTCCATAATGAAGCAAAAAGAAAAGACTACTTTGGTAGTGTTCTTGGAAACTTATTAAGTAAAATGTGTTATTTTTTGGTGGGTATGTGATATTTGATTATTTACAAGAACACAGGTGACTTTTGTTTTTAGAACAGAGGATTATTTAGAACTATTATAGCAAAAAACTAAAAAGAATCTGACAGGATTTTAAGGACCATAGGATTGTTGTCACATCTGTGTACACACATACCTTAAAAATACCAGGTCTTCCTATACATGCATTTCTTCCTGTAAGCACTGCAAGGTGTCTGTTTCTTTGTATATGCTCATAGCATTGGATATTCTGTCAGGAGGTCCCTTGGTGAGGGAGGGGGATTATATAAAAATATGATGTTTTCATTGGAAAGTCTTGAAATTCCTTCTTTCTTCAGAGGCAAAAAATATTACATTTTGATCCTGAGTTCATAATACAATGTGTCTTTTCTAGTTTGGAGGTAAATGTGTTTCTGGGCTGGTATTCAGTAGTTTTCACACTTGATATTTGTTATGTTTGTGATATCTGTAGATTTCCTTTTTTTTTTTAATGTCTTCCTATCTTAATAGACCAATTTTTTTGTTTGTCTCTTACTTTTTAAAAAATAAAAAAGATGGACTATTAAAGATTAAGCCATTAAGGTAATCCGCTAGATCGTAGATGTACAATGGATTGCTCATGACTCACATTGTATCAGCCCAGTGGGAACTGCTCAGAATGGTCCAACTTACTCTATAGGCCATTGTTTGCCCAAATTAGATTTGATAAAAACTTACTGCATTTCAGTCTAAAGAGGAATGAAGCCTTATTAAAAAGATGCTTCAATATTAGACAATGTGTCAGCCTTTAAAAAAGGGTTCCAACCTAAAACTTATTACATGAACTAGTGAAAATATGTGATGGCATAGCAGCTACTCATATATCAGTCTCTTACGGGGCCAATATGAATTTTTTCATCCATTCCTTTTCATTCTCCTCTCCTCATTTCTCCTTTATCTTTCAGTCTGTTTGGAGGATGGAGAGGAGGGATATCAGGCACAAGAAGACACATGTAAACTTCTTAGTGCAGTAGGTGCTATAATAGATCTCATGAAGTGCAGAGGAAACCAGAAAAGAATCTGTAAAGTACCTTATAATATTATGGAGGCTCTTGAAGACTCTACTAGAGTTTATAAAATCTACAAGGATAGGGACCGTATCTCAAATGAAACTTTTTTCAATGACTTATTCATAGAACTCAGTAAACACTGTTTTGGTTGCTGGTACAGTCTGAAATCCAGGCATCAGTAAACCCCAGAGAACTTGTCAGTTGGAATATGAGACAGAGATCCAAGTTTATGGTTCTGGCATCAAGTTTCTAAACCATGGGCCCTTAAACATTCACTCTGCCTTTCTGATCTTTATTTTTCTTATCTGCCCAGTGAAAATAAATGGACTGTAAGCCTCAAGCAAACTTATTTGTATTTTTACTGAAATAAAGCATTTACTCTAGTTCCCATTTTACAGATTTAAAAAAAGAATAAAAATTAAAAGATAGAATGACTTGCGGTTGTATTGATTCAGCTAATGTGCTCTACACTATAAGGGTAAATGTAGGAAAGAAAGATCCAGTTTCTCCTCCAGGAACTGTCAGTTCAATGAGTGAATGAATCATACTTAGGATTGCTCATTCTAGGTAAGAAATGAAGCTTCAAAGGAGCTCTGTTCTTGCTGTGAGTCTTCTTTCCTGCAAAAGGAAGGAGATGGCAATTAGCTAGTCTTCTGTTAGCCCATATTGACTCAACATATACTGACCCTCTGTTTTAAGTTTAAAAAAAAAATTATGAAAAAATTTATTCCAACCACATGTGGCCAGTGTGTGTGATGATAGTGTCTACTCAGTGGCATGAGTATGGGATCATAACCACACTGTGAAGTGACTATTCTCAAGTCTTCCATCAAGTCAGGAAGGATGTTACCTCACAAAATATAATTACCATTTGCAGCCATCATTTCTCTACTTATTGTGGCCAGAATTGTATATTCCAGCTGCTTGTGACATGACATGGTTTGTCTGTCCCTGTGAGAAGTGTTGTTGCTATGCATCAGAAGAGAGGAGTGAAGAGGAAAAACAGAACAGCCTAAACAGAAACAGTGTAAACACTTAACCGTATGTTTACTTATTTTTTTCTAGTGAAAAATGAATCTACCAAGAGCCTTGGCAATGAAAATTGAGCACTTCTTTTGGAAGAAGGTGAAAATTTCCAGACAGTTGTTGCAGAGGACTGTGAATTGGTGGACTGTCGGATGATTGGAGTATTGTTAGTGGGTGGTTGGAGATTTTTGTTTGAAAAGTAATTAAACAATCTAAGCTTTTTAAAAATGTATTTTATAGCTTATTGAGTTAATTTATTTGTAAGTCTCCTTATTCATAGTAAGAACTCCTTTTTGCTCCTGATTAACATAGTGCTTGTTAGGCCCTGGCTTTAAATAAGCTTAATTCCATAACTGAAAATCTTGTACTTGTTAGTTTGAGGCAAGACCAAACCCAAGGATCACCTGTGTGAACCATGAAGTTGGCATTGTCCTTAGTGGATCCTCACTCAGTGGAAAGGCTATGCGTTACACTATTTAGCCCCAGGGGAGCTGATCCTCCCCCTTTTCCCATTCTTGACTTTGGGATTTATATGTAATTTTTTCTTTTGAGGTATTTATACTTGGGAAAGTCCTAGTACAATGCCTTATGTAAAGACTGAATAAATGCTGTTAACTATTTCTTATTTACAGTCTGGAAAATCAGCAGCTCTACATTGTTTGAACCATACATGCTACAAAATTGGCTCTACTTTTTCATACAACAAGCTGTGTCTTACAAATTCTGTGCCTTTTTAAACATTTCCAATCTGTTTTCATCATCACCACACAGGGGTGTTGTGATGACCATTTTTATGCTGTTTTTATATCTAGCAATAACTTAAAAAAAAAAAAAACACTTGGAACTCCTAAAAGTGTTACTGAAATGTATATAGTGTTTTTATGTATATACATAGCTTAATTTATACCTTATGACAGCTCTATATACATTATGATCTCACATATTGAAATTAAAGTCTGATTTTATGGAATATATACAGTAATGAAACTATGATATGACTATAAAAGAGTAAATGATTATTACATCTGTATTGCATTTGTGTACTTGATAGTTAAAAAATGACAAAATTGGATGCTAGTGAGATTCATTTTTAGTTTGTAATAGGAATAAGACACCCCCCCCCAAAAAAAATCTAGAGGCATTAAAGAGACTTAGAGAGATTAGAAATACATATGAAAAGAAAAAGAGAAGATGAGCATGGGAGAAGCTTACAGATCACAAGTATATATAACTTGGTGTAGAAAGCAGAAAAGAAAGGCTGGCCTGTACTTTGGTGATATAGTGCTGTACATAGAGACCTGGATCCCACATAGCCAAACACAGTTTGAATGCTAGCCCCCATGGCTTATAAACTACCTTGGGTACATGTGCGTGCCTGCCCAGAATCCATATGGGAAGGAGAAATGCAGGAAAAAGAATTGTGGCATGACCATGCCCCATAGTGGGAAGGGCTCACTTACTTTCTCTCTCTCTCTCTCTGACACACACATATGCATTCTGGTAATAAAAAACTTCAAGAAAAAATAGAGAAGAGAATTTAAAGATAGTAATTCCAGAAGACCTTTGGTATAAGACTACTAGTGGAGGGGCTGGCAGATGGCATGTTGGTTAAAGGTGCTGGACTCCCACATGGCTGACCTTGGTTCGAGTCCCAGACTTGGTGGCTTGCTTTATCACTTTTCCTCCCCCCCCTTTCTCTCTCTCTCATTCTGTCCCTCTCTGGTCAAATTAAAATGGATAAATAAATAAAGTTAACATAATTTTTAAAAAAAGAGTACTAGTGGAAATGTGACTCATAGGAAGCAAGACCTTGCAATTTGAGTATATATACATCCTAAAGCAATTTCAACAATCTCTCAGTATGAAAAAGAATTTCTGTAGAATTATGCTGTTCACAATATTACCAGAGAGAGAACTAAATGGAATTCCAAGGGATTCATGTTTAATCTAAAAGTGAAATGTGTATTATTGAAACAGGCTAGAAATAGGATGGATTTAATCAAATGTGTCATAAAGTTGTTACTGAGAAAAGTGGGATAAAGTACACAAACAACCATGTGATCTGAATATCAGGGTGGAGAGGAATTTCCTGACAGTGAAATCTGTTGTGAGGTAGTCTTCATTTCCAAGAAAAGTGTTGAGTTTCATCCCTTCTAGAATTTAAATTGAAAATTGGACAAAAATCAAAGCATTTATCTTGTACTTTCCCCTGCCCAGGAAGAAAAAGAAAGATATAACTACATGATCTAATGCATATTTTCTAGAATTCTATTAGACTTTTCAATTATAGGCTTTTCTTTGGGACTAGCACAGTTTTTCTAAATATAACTATAGCTCATTTGGTTGATATGCACATTTATTCCCACAGGATTTACAGTAAACATGTGTTTTAGTGAATAACCATGTTAAAGGCTTGGAGGGGATGAGATTGGAATAATTCACTGAGAGCCTTATAAATTTTAGTATTTAAGACCTAATTTCTTTTTATTAGTATTATTTTATATTTAGGTTTTTGCCATAAGGCATGTGGCGAGAGACAGAGAGAGAGTGAAGGTGAGAAGTTACCACTCTGGTGGGGATGACTACACCATAATCCTTTCTCCTCCATTCTCTTCTTGGGATTTTGGGCACAAATGCACATGTGCCTGGCCTGATTTTCAAGCCTCTAGGTCCAGGAGTGGAACCGTGATTGACCATGTGGGGAGTTCAGCACCTTAGCCACTGTGCCACCCACTGACCCCAAAGACCTAATTTCTTTTTAGAAGCCCTTTCTATTTTGGATTCTTGACAAATCTGATGAGTAGCATACTCCTTGACTCATGTTAAGTTCAGAATCTCACATTTTATTTACAAATCAAACTTTAAAAGAAAAGATCCCAGATGTTGGTGCAGTGGTAATTCAACTGAACCTAAATGGGAAGGTATTGGGTACTCCTCTGATGGCCACCGTATATACACCAGCTGATCAAGGTTGGCTAGGACTGTGGATGGATCATAGTAGGAAGACCCTGTTGGGCCCTAACCTCACTCTCTAATGGGAGAAATAAAAACAGAGAGATTGGGCCAGCAGTTGGTGTGATAGTTAAGGTGCTAATCCTACATGGCCGACTCCGTGGTTTGAGTTCTGGATGTAGCAGTTTGAAAAACACATCAGCACGTGTGCGTGCATCCCCAAAATCCAAAAGGTGAATGGAGAAGGGATTACAGTTTGGATATCCTCCTGGGGGGTGATTTCTCCCTTTCTCTCTCTCCCTCTCTCCAGTGAATACACACTCCCTATAGTAAAAGTCTTTAAAAAGTTAAATATAAAGTTCATAAGAGAGAGAGAGAGAGAAGGTCCACCTAGCCTTCTTTATTTTTTAAAGCACAATTTCAAAGAGAAAATAGGTCTTTTATAATTATTAATTATTACATATTGGATTAATAAACTTAAATCATAGTGAATAATATTTGTACCAGTTCGTATTTAAATTTGAATGAAGGAGAATTACTGTAAGAGATATTTGATCCCAAAGTGTAGTTGGGCCAATGTTTCCCTATAACCAGTAGTGGAATTCACAATGTATAATGAGATGTTAAGCATATAACTATACTACCATCAATTTCCTTTATGACTCTTCTTTAATTAGATTGACATATAATACTGTATGTTTACCTGATTTCATATTACTCAACTCATGCTACATATTTGTTGTACCTATTTCATATTGGTAAGTTTGACATAAAGATGCTAGTCTGCTCTTATTGAATCGTATACTATCTTATTGAAATGTATTAAATTTATTTTCAGGTAGATGTTGTGTGACTATTTTTTTTTTTCCAGGGGATGATTGCATTTGCCAGAGAGAGAGAGACGGAAAGTAAGAAAGCACCTACCACCCCCACTTCCCCCCATGAGTCAAGGGCACACCACAGTCCCTTCCATGTCTTGCTCCTCTTTCAGGATTTCAGGCATACATGCACATGCACCCAGCATGTTTCTCAAGTTGCCAGGTCTATGGTTGGCCATGTGAGATCCAGCCACCTTAATCACCAGTTAGCAGGGTGGCCCATGACTTATTAATCAGTCATCCCTCAAATACAAGTAATAGAAACTCAAACCAGTGTCAGCTTGGAGGGCAATTTATTGGCTAATATGCAGAGAAGACCACATATGACTGACTGCATTCAAACACAGAAAGAGGTCATCTTGCTGTCTTCCTCACTTGGCTCTGACTTTTGCTATCCTGAATTGGTTTTCTCCTCTAGGTATACTTTCTCTTTAGTGATACTCTTTTGGGATGAGGAGGACGAGGTGAAGATGGTGGATAACACCAATTGACAGGTTCAGCTTGCTTCATTATAACCAGTGACCCAAAGTATGGCAGCAAGCTATGTATTTGGATTTTTCTCAGATTATATCACATTTCCATCCCTGAGCTAGTCAAGAGAGGAGTTCATACAAAAGGAGGGAAAATTATTGGAAGTAAGGGTATAGAGAACAGTTGAGGAAAAGTAGTTACAGAGAACACAAAAGTAATATATGTCCACTGCACCTATTTGAATTTGTATAGCAAGAGGTTTCTGATTTTAACTAACAGTAGTAAAATTCCAAATTAACCTGCAAATCCTCATTGGCTTTAGAAAGTTTATTTATTTTCTTATTTTGTTACAGGGGTGTGTGCTCACTGGAGAGAGGAAGAGAAAAAGAGGGAAAGTGAGAAATCAGCCTCTGGGGGAATGACCACACTGCAATCCCTTCCTCATTCTCTAGGGTTTTGAATATGCGCACACACGTTCCCAGTGTGTTTCTCAAGCCTCCCATTGATTCAGACTACTCAGTCAGCCATGTGGGATCCAGCTGCCTTAACCGCCACACCACTAGCCAGCTCTAGTTTTAGAGATGTTTAGTCCCTGCTTGATACCATTGCTACTTTAAGTTGCCATTATGGGCTTTTGAGGGTTTTTGTTTTTGTTTTTAAATGCCAACTTTGGCATTTATGTTGATACCGGTTTGATCATATGCACGTAACACTAGTCTGTTCCATCACTAATTCGGAAATTGTTTTTCAAGTTTCATCAACATTTGAAAAAAAAAGTAACTAGAGTTGTACTAGGTGAAAATACTTCAAATATGAAGACTACTTAAGGGAAAAATTTGCCTTAAGTTAAAAACTATTTAAAATGTTAGTTCATTTGGTAGAGTCATGTATTTTTCTATGTTTTCTTTCTTTTTTTTTTTTTTGGCGGGGG